TGAACCAGTTTCACTTTTTTATTTCGCCCTATTTTTCCACCTGCTGTGACACCTCAACGTAAAGACCTCCGCTTTTGAGAGCTTACATCAAATCAATAAAACAGGAGCTGTTAAGAAAGTTATCACCTTCTCTATTGTTTTTTTCAACAGCCTCAGAGCCACAACTTTTACTGTATTTAGGTCACAGTGGCGAGCTAAATGTTTGTCAGAGCTGGAACTAAACCAAACAGGGAGTCATCTCCAAAGATCACTTCAAAGATCTCTGTCTCTATGAGGACAGACATAATGAGCTAATTCTTCATTATCCCTCAGCAGAGTCGACCAGCAGAGTTCAGAGGTTCCCTGTGGTCAGTCTGACCGGCAGCATCACCTGGACTCCATATTTATGGTCTGTAAAAGCTCAACTGCTCCTTTTGCATCTGTTCTGTTCACAGTCACCTCATGCAGCACTTTGTTGGTCTGGAGATTGTCAGTCTGTCCGGCTTGGATCAGAAGATAAGTCAGTCTGATTGTGTTTTTTCTTATGCTGTTCTGTTCTAGCTGCTGGAGGACAACATTGTCACTTTTGTGAAGAACGAGCTGAAAAATATGCAGAAAGTTCTGAGTCCAGATTACCCAGAATCCTTATACAGTCAGAGAGAGGATGAGGAAGAAGAGCAAAGGAGGAGCAGCAGAGAGGCATTCCTGCAGATCACATTGTTCTTCCTGAGACAGATGAAACAGGATAAACTGGCTGACCGTCTGCAGAGCAGTAAGAAATCTTCTCTCAAGATTTAACAAAGTCAAGTGACATGTCACATGTACAAGTTAATGTCACTGATATGTCTTAAATCTGCAGATTCATTATTTACCAAAGTGTGTTTGTTTGTCCCTTCAGAATCTCTGTTAACATGCCAGCATAGACTCAAATCTGACCTCAAGAAGAAGTTCCAGAGTGTGTTTGAGGGCATCGCTAAAGCAGGACAGGGGACCCTCCTGAATGAGATCTACACAGAGCTGCACATCACAGAGGGAGGGACTGCAGAGGTCAATGAGGAACATGAGGTCAGACAGATTGAAGCAGCATCCAGGAGAGCAGCCAGAGCAGAAACAAGCATCAGACCAGAAGAC